TTGTCTCAAAAATTAATGTGATTATATGGGAGTTGTGATTATATAGGAGGTGATTATAGAGGAGGAAGACTGTACTTCAATTCAGATAAAACCAATCATTTACTACAGCCTTTTTACATATTTACTAATTCTTTTACTATTTCAGTTTTGATAATATCATATTATTCTGCTAAACTAGTACTCAACACTATTTTTAAATTAGAACTTATTCACATAATCTGTTGATCATTCTTTTAAACAAATATATTACAAATTGGTGCAGATATATTGATATTACCTCTAAATTACTCAAACTAAAAAACTTATTTGTGCAATTTTTTACAGCCTAAACCTTCTGTAACACCATATTATATATGTCTGTATTCTATAATTAGTGCTTCTTTCAAGAATTTTTATTTCAGAACTGTACTTGCACTTAGACTTTTCACTAAGCTTCACATCCTATTATAGCTCCATAAAATTACAGTAAAAATTTGCTACTAGTCTAACCAGAATCCCGAAATATACATAGATAGGTAAGGTATGAGTTTGCTTATTTTTGAGGTTTTTTATGCAGATCTTTTCTATTTATAGTAATTTTTTGCTTATTTTTAAAGTTTTTTTCTACAGATCTTTCCTTTTTTAGTAACTCTATAATTAACCTGACCTATCTATGTATATTTCGGGGTCCTGTCTAACCATTCACCTTGTTTGTAGAAGTTTGGGAGCTTAACCAATAAGCTACAGAATCCAAACCCTTATTTATTTATTTCTACTTTTTAATACTGATTTTAGTTGGTAACAATAAGAAGGGTTGTATAAATCAGCACTGATGCTTGGTTACTATCAGGTGCTATATGAATATTTTTTCAACTTAAACTTTATTTTGGTCTTAATTCTCAAGGTCTGAATATTTTTTAATTTGTGTCTTTTTTATAGCTTTTAGTAGCAGTGGCTGGTTGATTTCTTTCAAGTGAATAGTATATTTTCACCATTTGTTTTATTAAGCTACTTATTATGGAAAATATAGTGGTCAGTACTTTAAGGCTTAAAGAATGCATTACATAAGATATTTGTGGGGCAGAGACTATTATTGGGAGATTTGTGGGGCAACTTATTCAGCATGTTGGTAATGAGTTACTATGTTGCTAGTTGGACAAGTCTACACACAGCTAATTCTTGTTTTGCTATTGTTTCATATATTCGAGCTAGTTCAATGACTTCCTGTAGCATACTGGTTATGAAGAATCCAACAGCTAATGATAAACCTTGCACAAACATTCGAACCCACATTACTTCTGGGTACTAAATTAATTATGTCAAGTCATATCGTCAAGTTTTGTCTGACGAAACCATTGACCAAACCTTTTTGTCAACGCCAAATAGTTTCGTCAGGCATCATTAACCATGACCCAATTAATAGATCTTATACAGTCACCTTATGATTCTTATTCACGTATTGCCTCAAACTATAGACTGGAAACAACTAGAACTGCCTCAAAAGACTGATTCGGATCACGGTCCGTAACATCCAAAGGTACCACGGGATTAAAAAAATAAAGAATAAAATAAAATTCCTAATTAGATAAACTAAAAATTGTCATTTTTTTAAACCGATCACTTCTTTTATTAAATGTCATTAAAATAAATTTTTATTAAATAGATGTAGTAAATCATATAGATACAAATTTAAATATAAAATTTTAAAGATAAATACGAAATATGACCTTCAAATTCATTACTTGTGTTATTTAGCGAATCATAGAGTAGATATTGTGGAGTAATGTTTACAAATCCATGATGATCACATTTATTCACAACATTCATGAATACCAAATCACCAACTTTGTATCCATCTTTGAGTTTACAACAACCTTCAAGAATTAAAGAAAGAATCTTTTTATCTTCATTATCAGGGGCAATTAATTTTTTATAGTCGTCAACGGAGTCAGGAATTATTCTATATCTCTTACAGTTTTTCCATTTCACTTTCAGTAAGAGAGATTTAGCATCTCTGACATCAATAATTCTGTAATAGAAACAATAATTAAGTTGATATGAAATAAAGGTATATATCAAATAGAGAATGCTTACCCGTATACCATTTTCAAACGTAAATTTTCACCAATATTTTCATTGACATTATGGTTTTTATCAAGATTGTGAATAAATAAGCATGCCATATTTTCAGGAGGAAAATGAGCACCGGTCACAATTTTGGATTTGTATACATTGTAATTACTGGATATCTCAGGACTTTCAATCACACTTATCCCTAGTTTACAGCAACTATTGGAAGAAGAATTAATAGAGCACCTGTATGAATGGTTGTTTTCTATTTCTACTTTTACCATTTCCTCGCAATATTTTTCATTGATAATAACTTCCATTTCATTATTCCTTTGTTCAAATATAAAATTTTCTGGATAACCAATAATAATCCATCCAATTTCTATTTTATATGGATTTTTTTTTCTTGAGTTCGTTCTTCCACCGATATAATGGATAACAAATACGGGTGTATTTTCATCTAAATATTCAACTCGCAGAGAATAAACCCGATTATCCTGGTTTATTATTGATGCAAAGATCTGACATTGGTGTGGACTTGAAGTAACATCATTAATTTCCTTATTCAAATCATCTATCACAATTGGGCACGAGCTTGATGGTTGTAATTCTGTTTTACGAATAGTTATCCTAGCTATTTTTTTTTTTAATAAAGTCTAAATTATTTCTATTTTGTGGTTTATATTGAATGCTGCAAAATAAAAACTTGCCCAATTTTTCTATGTAGTAGAAAATTGTGCATTATTTTTGCGAATGAAATTACGTTACAGTCAGTTCGGAACCGGTTTTAATAAAACTGGTTCAAAACCCTGACATAATTTAGGTGCTGATCTAGTACGGTGAATTAAAATTTATACAAAATATCACTTTGCAGCTCTATTTTATTAAAAAAAAAAATGGTTTACCTTTAAGGATTTGTTTACCAAATGCTTCCAATACTTTATTTTTTATTTCATCATCAAGTAAATCAAATATTGGTCGTATGTTGTAAGAAATTATTTGCCAATGTTTAGAATCATTAACTGAATTCCTCCAATTTTTTTCGGCTTCTTTATCATCTTGAACATAAAGTGCTTCATTTCCACCAATAATTGTTAATGTCTTTTGTGATATATTCAATAATTTTAATACAGTGTTTTCAGAATTATTTTCCAATCCAACGTGAGCTTGATTATTCATAAAGCCACAAGACATCTTTGAATTACGTCCCTTTGTGGCTTATTTTATTTATAGTTTCAATTAAGGTTATAAATATTTTGATTAAATCATAGGCATAATAATATTAATAAAACCTACCATTTTCTTG